AATCAAGTTCATCACTAACAATAAAATTTGCATCAGGAGACACAGAAGTCAATGTAGGTTCTAAAACAATCACACCAATGTTGACATTTGAGTCCACATTAGATGTGTTCTCACAGATGCCTGGAGTTCTATTCTCCTCCTTATCGGATTCGAAAGTAGAAACTTCTAGTGGAGTATATGTGGTTGGAGTAGCTTGTGACACAGAAGGATTAAAAACTCAAAATTGCTTGTTTCTTCTTGGAGTCTTTTGGTTTGATGGATAGTTGGAGGAAGCCATTTTCAAGTTTGGATATTAAATGTTTGAGTGAAAAATAAGAACAACATTGAAGGTTTTGGTGTGGTATAAAGATAATAATTTTTGGTATTTATATTGGTTGAAAATAATTTATTTTTTTGAATTTATGGTAAAAAAAAATAATTTTTTGAGAAGTAAAAAAATTAAACTGTTTTTGGTAAAAGTGTTTCTTTATCAACTTAAACTCGGTACTGAGTTTGTGTACTTTTTTGAAAAGAGCATGGTGTTTGTCAATCTAACTTAACTCTTGTTGAGGCAATGTTGAGCCGATTTCGCATAGCCTGAACTAGGGATGAGCATCGGTTTGAAACCGGGAACCGGACCCAGCTAGATCAAAATGGAGAACTGGGAACCAAAACGAATACTCCGGTTCTGGTTCCAACCGAATCGATTCCGTTTCTGTTCGATTTTACAAGCAAGCTTGATCTTTAAAGATGTGTGTTGTTCCGGACCTAGCCTGAACCAGACCTAGAACTAAAAAACCGATAACCGATTTAGTGAGAAACTAGATTATGACCCGCGTTAAACGAGGGGAACATAAATTAAATACATATCACATTAATATGTGACTTTGTCTTAGGTTGAATTTTAATAAAAAAATATTAGTTACATTCATTTTTAGAGTTTTCGAACTAAACTTATTAGACAAAAATATTTAATATTTATATTAGAACAATTTGGTTTTTCAATGCAGTAATTTTTTAGCATAAATGATCTATGTGATCTTTGTTTTATCACAACATAATGCGACTTCTTGATTAAAACATGTTGTGTAGTAGCTTTATGAATTGAATTTGTTCGGTGTACCAATCCCCATGGAGGCTCATATGGTTCTTTTCATATTGGCCCTGTAAAACCAAAAGCAACAATAAGTTGTTACATGTACCAGCAACATTAAATTCTGCAAAGAAATTCGATAAACATTACAAATAAAGTGAATTGTCATAACCATAAACATCAAATTCAGACATTGTAATTTGGTCGATTTCAAAGTATTTTTTCCTTATAAAAATTAAAATATGATTTTTCAGGCTACACCCGATCACATGTACATATCTTCCGATCAAATAAATTATTACAAAAAAAAACATGTTATGAACAAAAATATAATATTAGTTTCATAATTTGCTAAATTTTGGGAAATGTTAAGACCTACTGAGATATGAGGGAATGGTCTGTGAGGCTACAGTTGGTTTCTATAGGGCAATACAAATTCAAAATCGTTAGCACATATCTTTCCTACCTGCTTTAATTATTAAATTTAGATCAAAGTTGTCAAAATCAAATTATAAAAAAACAGATATGTAACCTAACAATCAAACAACATATTTTTCATTGAAATAAATATCATAAATCCAAAATTTACACTTTATATATTATTCTTCAATTATATATTACCTTTTCATCTTTAATGGTCACTAACATTTCTTTCTGCCTTATTGTTGTGACACGCATCTATATCGAAAATAAGAGAAAGAACTATAGAGAAGAATGTTGACAGAGTGATACCTCATTGAAAACACAACAAAATTCTTCTTAAAGCCGCTAGGATTCTTCTATAAACCGCTAGAAGGTCTATATAGTGACAACCGGTGTGGCATCCATGAAAACGCACCACTTAAAATAACAATTTTTATTAATGTAAGTGAAAAATCATTTAGAATGCTTACCAGTTGTGATTGTTTCCACTTGGATGTGAACATTAACATTCTTGTAGAGAAATGGAACTTCAAATGAACCCTACATAGTCAAATCAACAAACATGACAACACAAAAGGAAGCCTAACTTGGCATATAACCAAATTTCCAACAAATTTCAAATTTTTAAGGTTTTGCTGAACAATTTTTTCAATTTATCAAAATTTTATTTTATTACAACCATATATGAGTAATCAAGAATCTAAATCAAGTGAAAGAAGTAATTGTTCATTTAAATCCATTAAAAAAATTACAATATTGTGAAATTGCATATAATTTACATGTTTGCTTATTCTCTTGGAGGTACCCGACCACTTGGATATGTACAATTATTTGATTAATTAGTGCATAAATTATGTTATAGAATATGAAATTTAACGATTGTTGAAATTCATTTACACTTGATTTAACAATAGAAAATTGACAAATTTATAATCATAAAAGTATGCTTAATTCAACAAATTTGTTATCAAAATTAATAGAAAACTGAGTTTCTTGAAGTAACAAATCAAATATACAAAAACGAATAAAAAACAAAGAACATTTGAAGATCATGTCAGAAAGGCTAAAAGATTTATAAAAGTTTATAATTTCATAAAAAGTTGTTGTTTGCTAATATTTATAAAAGTTTATAATTTCATAAAAAGTTGTTGTTTGCTAATATTTATATTGAAGTTGTAATGAATAACATTGTAACAATGCTGACAAATTCACATTCAAACGGAATAATAAAGTAAAAAATGATTAAAATTCTAAATACATATGAGTTTAAACCCAAAAGGCAAATAGATGAATAATTCAACATTTCATAAAACCCAAAATGTATTTAAATGATCAAAATTCTAACCCAAAAAATGAATAGTATGAAACAAAGTAATCAAAAATCACACCCGAAAACCAAATAGTATGTAAACATAATATGAAATCAACCGTACTCAAATCACCCAACTACTCATATAAAATCATGAAACTCATATATTATTTTTCTTTCTTTGGAATTAATAGTTTTGACTTGCATTCTCCAGAAGTACGATCTGTCATTGATGTTAATGATTGTTTGGTTGAGGAAATTGTTTCTAGATTATCAACATCGTAAACATCTTGCAAGTTGTGTTTTAATTCTTAATGTCTAGACACTTTTTAAAAGGAGGTCTACTTAGTTAGTGGACTTATTGCAATACTTTTATCAATATTCGAAGCGGGTGTGACGTTATCACCAGTAAACGAAACTGCATCCTAAATATAGAAAATAAATTCATATGTCAATCTAAAAGTTAATAATATTTTAAAGTATTTAAAATATTAGATTTAGTTATATAATATTTAAAACCTTCAAATTTAATGTGTCTTGACATCCGAATTTCGCCGATAAAACGTTAAACGAATCGGATTACGGCACCTATATTTGTAGTACATAGAAATATGTTAGTTGATCAACTAAAATATAAAAAACGAATCTAATAAGTGTAGTGTTTGTAGTATGTTTCGTAAAAGAATGTTAGCTGTTCAATGTTAATTTTTTTTTTCCAATTCAACAGTGATTTTATTATCAACATTGAAGTTTGAGATTGCATAACCATCAACATTGTTCTTCAAATTATAATGAGGAATTTGAATTTTGAATGCCAACTTTTTATCCAAAAGTAATTTCAAAGCAAACAGAAAAATCTTTATATTACCTTCCTAAAAATGAAAAAATTAACGGTTATATAAATAGACAGACAAAAAGTAAAAATTAGTTTTATTTAAATGAAGTTAATATCGATAATCTCATTAAACTTTTGAAGCAACTCTTTTGTGTTTTTTTCCAGAAGTTTCTTTGCATCACGATCAAATAACGTAAGTGACACCACGCCAGTAAAGTCTTGTACTATAATGATGATTTTGAAACTAAAACCATTGATATAAACAATTTCAATAATATAAAATTAGAAATTTTAATCGAAGATTATAAGAATATGTATAAAAGAGTTATTGAAAACCTTGGAACAATAGATACGTCTTTGTTCATGCAAGTTGAAGTGTAACAATAAAAAACTTCTTTATCCTGCTTTTGCTCCGTTCCACTAGCTTTGCCATCATGCATTAAAACGACTTTTATGACTTTCTTTTGACAAACATAGGTCAACACATTAAAAAATCGATATAAAGGGTATAATTTTGTTTCTGTAACTAAATGAATGAAACTAATATGTTTAAAGTAGATTGATTAATTTTTTTCATGACCTCTCAACAAGAACAAAGTAATAACAAATAATAAGAACATAGTAAATGCAAGAAATTAAAGAAGAATAAGGAGAACAGAGTAAAGTAAAAGCCTGGAAAAAAGAATCGGAGAAAGATTGCTCAAGAAGAACACTGTAATCATAGGACCCAGTCCAAAATCGTAAGAATAACCACTTCAGTGTAATCGTATATAGTGTTTTTGAATAAGGACATGATTATCTTCTAAAAAATTTGGGATCGTAAGATATCTTGGAGATTTTCGGTTATTCATCTGAAAAAAAAGAAAGATATCAGCTATATAATTCAAAACTTCAAATTAATTGACTTTTTTATTTAATCAGTTTAAAATTCAAACAGTTATTTCAAATTGATTCATTTTATATGGGATATACTGTGATATAAATTATGAATAATATTGACTTTAATTTTGACTCTTAAATATTTTGCTATAAATAAAGGAGTTAAATTAGGAACAATATTAATTAGAGAAACTGATATCATGTATATAAATAGAATGATATGTTTCAATTAATAAAATAATTACTGATTTTAAAGATTCTATAATTATTACAGATTCTATAAATAATGTAATTGTGTTTGAATTTTATTTGGGGAAGATGATGTCAGCAATTTGATCTAATGGTGGAAAACATAGGATTAAAACACAATCAAGGGTCATGATTGCTTCATTGGTGAATTAAGGGTTATCTTTTAATAATATTTAGAGATATAGAACCAAGAATCGGACCGAATACCTTTGGCTGTTGTTCTATTTTTTTTCATGTTTGGTTTGATTCCACCGTATCAAATCCTCGTCCCTTACCTAAGAAAGTCTTCTAAAAATATCAAATGTACATTTGAATTTTCCGATAATACGTCAGCAAAAAGTTTCCATTTATGTTTACACAGTACATAAGTTATGTGCCAACTTTGTAATCTTTACAAAGTTTGGGGGAATATATGAATTTACAGAAACATACACGCAGAAATCCATACCTGCCTCCCTCGTATACTATCGTTTTTCAAAGCGGTCTCTTCTCCACTCCTCCCTTGCTTGGTTGCTCCAACTTACCGGCGATCATCGATTCCGTTGCCAACCGATCTTCCGGGGACGTCCATTTTCCTTTGGCCTCCCGTATGCCGATCTCTTTCTTCCGGTGAAAGGTAATTTATAGTCTTTTACACGTCAACATCTACGATGAGTTTTTGGTAATTTGATCTGTTTGAAGGTTTAATTTTTGCGTTAATTTGATCGTTTTGCTATTTTTCGACTCCTTAGCTCATCTGAACTTTAAATTCGAATGTTGAAACCCTAGTTATTGGGAACCTAAATTGGATTGTCGTTTGTTCGCTTTAACTAGCTCAAGTTGGCTCATTCACACGATTAGGGATTGTTTTATTTGATTCCGAGAAAAGAATTCTATAGAATTGGTTCTTGATGACAGAATTCTGTGGACAAGCATTAATCGTTCTACAAAATTGTAATTTTGTAATTGGTCTCACGAGAATGTTAACTTAGTACTAATTCATATACACATTGTTATCACTACTATTCATGTTGTTTTTTCATAAACCGAATCCCTGGTTATTTGCAATCAAAATCGGATTCTTGATTGTTCTCTCTTTCTAGCAATAGTTGCCTCATTCATGTAATTAGGGAAAAATGCTTTTTTATGAAAGTCATGATCTTCTTTTAGTAACCATTCAATCATTATCATATCCATGGTGCTCTTCTTGCAGAAAACATCTTGTCTCTCAATCCAAATCAAAATTGATCACTAGATTTTTAACATTTTGACCTAAAAAGATGGGTTCAAGAGGACATGGACCACCCTATGGAGGGAGGTCAACCACTGAAACACCTGGGATGATGCGCCATGGACATGGTTCATACTCCTTGAGCCACACCATAGATCCACTGCCACACCACCTCCACCCTGAGCGTGGTGGTGGTGGTGGAGACAACAAACTGGTGGCTCAGTCATCTGAAATAGAAAGACTTGCTGGAGACAACAAAAGACTTGCAACTACTCATTTGGCTTTACACCAAGATTTAGTTGCCACTCAACAAGAAATACAAAAACTTAGGGCCCACATTGGAAGCATCCAGACTGAATCTGACATCCAGGTTTGTATTTTGCTTATAACAGTGAAAGTTGCTTTGCGTTTAGATGATATTGATATAATTTTGTATATTTTTAAGGTTCGTATTTTGTTGGAGAAAATTGCAAAAATGGAAGTTCATATAAGGGCTGGTGAGGATGTGAAGAAGGATCTTCAGAAGGCACATAATGAGGCTAGGGCTTTGGTGGCAACTAGACAGGAGTTGATTGGTCAAATTGAACAGGCGACTAAAGAATTTGAAAAAGTCCATGCTGACGTGGACAAAATTCCAGAAATGCAAGGTGAACTTGATGGATTGAGGCTTGAACACCAGAAGTTAAGGTTAGTCAACTTTACTTGATGGACAAAAGTCGGTTGAATTTTCTAAAACTAGAAAATGTATTTATATATATTTTTTATTGTTATCTTATTTGGATTTTAATCGACTCTTTTAGGTCAACATTTGAGCATGAAAAAAGAAAAAACACTGAAAAAGTGGCACAAATGGAAATAATGGAGAAAGACCTTGTGAGGATGGCAAGAGAGGTGGAAAAATTACGAGCCGAGGTTTTGAACGCCGATAAAATCCCACATGGTATTTATTCCTATTTTACCCTTTCAAGAAACTTTCTAGCGCTATTTTTGACAATGAGCTTCCGAAGGGCATTCATGTCATTTTCACACACAAGAGACCGAGAACAAGTCCTTGTCACGCCTACCTTTTTGATCATGACAAAAAATTGCAACTTTTGTCTTGTTCCAGTGACTACAACTTGTTCTGTCATGTCATGTTCTGCACAGTGCATACCAAACACAAAACACAGTACAACTTGTTATGGTATGTCATGTCAGTTATACTTTTATATGGTGAAAAAAATTAATATTAATGTTTATGATGTGTGCAACAGCAAATGTGTATGGTGGGCCCTACATGAACCCGGAGTTATACCCTCCGCCGCCTCGTATGCATAGTGGCGGCTATGTTGATGGGTATGGAAACCATCATAATCATCATGTCCCGATGGGTGGTGGTGTTGCTGGCGAGGGAATGATTCCTTATGGTGGAGTTCATCATGGACCAGCTGGTCCAGGTGGCTATCCACAATGGGGGGGACCACAGATGGTCCCCTACGGTGGAGTCCACCATGGACCTGCTGGTCCAGGTGGCAATCCACAATGGAAAGGACCACCATATGATAACTCTTACTCTAGGACTTGAACATGTTACATGTGACTTCTCATTTGTGCCATATGCAAATTTCACCCCCTCCCCTATTAGGTATAATTATAGTTTTATAGAAGGGTTAGATTTTATAGAATCTTGTTTGATTCTAAATTGTTGATATGAGTCAATGTTATTTCATCTACCTTTTGGGTAAAAAAAAGTGTTAATTTTGGTTATTACTCTAATTGTTAGTTTTTAGAAGTACATTATCATTGTCATTTATGATTGGTTCTTTTTATAAAACTATCAAAGAGGAGATGAGGGCGAAGTAGTCATTTAGCATAGAAGGTTGCACCTTTGACATGCTACATGACAACATTACTAACACTTACACTTTAATTATTTCTTATACAAACCTCAAACTTTCATGTATGTATGTATAATTGCTCCGGATAGTAGCTTTTGCAACACTTTCAACTAAAATAAGTTTTCATAATTGGCCATCGACAACCGGCAATCAATACGATTTTTAAACTACTAGAATCGCAAAAATTGAAAGAACAAAAAAACACGAACAGTAAGGACTTTTTGTGTCTGGTTTGTGTACGATACTTTTCAATTTTTGAAAATTTATTTATTAATTTGTAAAAGTTGTCTATTGTGTTGTTTTGTGATTTATATAGAGAGCTACAAAATAAAAATAAATAATCATTTTCTTAGTTAAAAGTATAAGTTCCATTACAAGAAGTACAAGCCATTAAAACAAGATAACATTAACAATAAGAGAATCGCCTTACTTTATTAGTTATTATAAAAAAAGATGAAACAAATTAACAACAAAAATCCAAGTTTAGATCAACTAACAACTCCTAATAAATAATTATTGGATAAGTGAGTAGACAAACTTCATATTAAGGATTCCCAAGATATATATAATATTATATAACCCTTACAATTACCAAATGAACATTATATAACCCTTACAATCACCAAATGAACATTAATTTCCCTGTTGCTTTATAGATAATATGAGGCAAAATTTCACCATAAGGCATGTGTACCTTAGTGGTTTGGTGGGTTACATTCAACCTTGATGTCTGATGTCTAGGGGAGTTAATGTTCATTACCAAAATAATGAACATTATATAACCCTTACAATTACCAAAATAAAGAACATTAACTTCCCAGTTGCTTTATAGATAATATTAGGCAAAATTTCACCATAAGGCATGTGTGCCTTAGTGGTTTGGTGTGTTACATTCAACCTTGTTTAAAGTTAAACCTAAGTATATCTATTCTTTTTAGGGATAATGACTTAAAAAGATAATATGCTTTTTGATTTGTGATACGTGTGAATATACTAGTTTTAATCCTAACTCACTTAACAAAAACCAACACCCGATAGACAGTGTACCTAATCGAATAGTAGTTTAGTGTAGGTAAGTAAGGTATCGAACACAGGAAACGGTAAAACAATTAAAACTATTACTAATGTTAACTAATTAAAGCAATTAAAGAGGGGGTTTTTCTCTAGTTTTGCAAAACTACAAACTTATACAAGCACTTAAACACTTAGCAAAGAAACAATTAACAACTAAATGAAGAACAAAAGATGATAGAATCAAGAATATTAAAGAGCTTTCCATTTAGATACGATTCACTTACTCCTATGGCTGATTTCGTGGCAAGTGCAATGGATTAATGTGTCATCAGTTACCGATTTCTAATGTGATTAAGTTCATGTTCACTATTACTAATCTTTTAGCAAACAAATCAATTCAAGCAGTGATCAATTGATTAAACTAACAAGTTTTCTAGTATTAAGTTCGAATTATGCAAGACTTGTAATAGTGATTAATTTAATTGGTTGGTTAAATTAATTCATATATGGTTGGTCATCATATATAGCTCACACATTAATTTACTTATTTTCTAGTTAACCCTAGGTTATGTTTACAACACTAGGCTTACAATCTTGATGGTCACAAAATCATAAGAGGCAAGTAATCAAGACATATGTTCATACAATCTCAATAAACTTAGTAATCAACAGAAAATAATTATCATTAACACATTAGGTTCTTTTAACAAGCTTAGCATGATAAATAATCAAATCAACATAATCCAAACCACATAATCAACACATAGTCATAAGATCCTCTACTCTAAATGAAAGCAGGGTTTTTAGCCCATGACTTCAGCAAGAACAATGATAAAAACGAAATTCAACATTTCAAACATGATGTAAACAAAAGAATTAAGTAAAGTGGATGTGATTTTGCCTTAGATCTCTTCAAACAAAAGCTTCTAGTCGAATTCTGTAATCCACAACTCCTAGGGATGTCTCTGGCCTCCAAAAGTCGCTAAAAACCTCCAACATTCGTTAGGTTTTCGAATAGAAACGATCCTTAAATAGATTCTGAAAAACGGTGCAACACAGCGTGTTTAGGACCCAACATGCCGTGTTTTTCATTAAAAACGCGTGTACGGCAAGACACTTTTCCATCAGGATTTTCCATCTCAACACGTCGTGTTTAGAGATAACATGCTGTGTTCTTCTTTAATTTCTTATTTTTCTTCAAAATCCAAGATCCAAGCTTCCAAATTGTCAATTCCGCTTCCTTTTCCTTCCGAGCATGTCTTTGTTGCTGCAATTTTTTTTTAACTAGTTAAGTACCTTTTGTTCAATATTTGAAACAAATACAACATAAAATATTAAGATAATGCAAGAATTATATGATTAAATATGCCAATATCAATTTGTATACATTTGGTCACTGGTTTTTTTTTGTCCGCATTTGACCATTTAACTTGTTTTTTGTCCACATTCAGTCCTTATAACCGACTACTCCAGGTTAACCCGAGAAAAATGACTTTAATAGGGTAATATATTTTTCAGTTTGTACATATTTAGTCCTTAATGTTTTTGTACACATTTAGTCTTTATGATCGATTTCTTCAGATTTTGCTCACGACATCCTACGTGGGACAATCATTAAAGAGGTGTTCTCATACATAGCTCGTCCTTCACTTATATCAGTAACCTAATTCACGATTCGATCAAATAATATTGGTGCCCTAGTTTTCTCCAAGCAGAAGATGTCTTCTTCTCCAGTTTCATCTATCTCCATAGGAGTCAACGTGACCTTGGAAGTGCAAACTTGAGTTGGGGGGAAGCAATCACAAAGAATCTCGTTGTTTTCTATGGGAGATAGATGAGACTTTTTGCTAATGTGTTCTTTTATTTTGGAAGTGCAAATTCGAGTTTGGAGAAAGCAATCACAAAGAATCGCGTTGTCTGCTATGGAGATAGATCAAATCGAAGCCGAAACATCTTCTGCTTGGAGAAAACTAGGGCACCAACATTATTTGACCGATTCATGAACTAGGTTATGGATATAAGTGATAGACAAGCCACATATGAGAACACCTATTTAATGATTTTCCCACGTACAATGTCGTGGGAAAAATCTGAAGAAACCGGTCATTAGGACTAAATGTGTACAAAAACAATAAGGACTAAATGTGTA